CTCCTTCCCTGCACCTTGCTTTATATCGTGGCGGGCGCCTGGGCAGACAGGGTCTTTTCCCGGCGCGGATGCGCCTTGGTGTGTCTCGCCACGCAGTCGAGTGCGTGAGCACGCGCATGGTACGGCGCCGCTCGGGACGCGTCTGGGATCTCGTTTCCTCCGTCTGTTCGGATGTGGCTTGACCCAATTTTGATTTTCTCCTTCTTTTTCTCTTTAATACAACTAGTCGACTGGCAACAGCATCGGACCGGCCGTCGTTTTGAAGGCTGGACGTGGGACACAGGACGGGGAAGGCAAGGGAAGGGCAGGGATGGAAAGAATGCATGGACGACGACGCGAAATGACGGATACCCCCCTTGTTGTTTGACCGTTTACCTCCCCCTTTTTCAATTTTTTTTCTTTATCCTTTTCGTATTTCCCCCCCTCGTCTACTTCACCTTGTGTGTGTGTGTGTGTGTGCGCTTGCGTTGGAGCTTCTGGCTCACCTTCACTTCTTGTCGAGTACATTTGGGGGGCACGGGAGGCGGCGGCTGATTAGCGATGGCCGGCCGAGAGGGAGCCTGTGGTCTGGCCACCAAGGCCACTTCGAGTCTGGCCGTTGTACCCGCCATGGAGTGCAGTCCACTGTTCGAGGTGAGACAAGGCCAGACGACAAGCAACAGAAAAGCACCAAAAAACAAAATGGGCAACAGAACGAGCGTGCGTCCGGGGCGCGAATTTGGTTTGTTGGAGATAGACAGAGGTCCGGCACCCAACGCTGGGCAGTACTTATTGTAGTTAGCTATGAGAACAACATTTCACTGATGTGTATGGTTCGCCATTGGGTGTGATTGATCCAAGGCTGTCTGTTCCTGGTCGGAGTTCAACGACCAAAGGGTCGTGTTTCCGTTGGATCGCATCCAAGACGGTCCGCGTGCTACAGCCCAAGTGCTGGTCTACACTCACTACAACCAAAGGTAGTAGAAGGAGGAGTAAACCGAGGATTGACGCAGAGGCAGATGCAGAGAGGGGCCGGCTGCGGGTGCGGCTATCGAAACCCGACCCACCGATTGGTAGTGTGGCGGGGACCTCGGCACGCCCAGGGTCACGCCCGAATGCCCTCCATCCCCCGCGCGACCCTCAATAACCCCGACCCTCAGAGCCAGCCAGACCCGGGGGACCGCTCGGTATGTAAACCCGACGTTCTGGTTTTGCTCCTGATTGGGGAGGTCAATTGGGATTGTTTTTTTTTTCTTTTCTGTTCGCGTCTTCTCTACCCAGTAGCTCTCGAATCGCCCACAGCCATCTTTCAGGGCATTGCTATCCAAGTTCAGCATCTCCCCGTCAGCATCGTCAGCGATCCTCCTCCTCCTCCTGCAACCTGCATCGGCATCTTCGTCGTCGACACGAGAACCGAGCCGACCATGGCAGGACGTGTGCGCCAGCCCATCGACCAAAAGTCGCTGGAGCGGTACATTGAACAGAATGTGCCCGAGATCAAGGTGCCCGTCGACCTGAAGCAGGTGCGTACAGCCTCCTCTACCCAAGCTTCCATCGGGCGAGTCTTCCTGCGCAACATGGCTCTAACAGACAGCAGTTCGGCTTCGGCCAGTCGAATCCCACCTACCAGCTCACGGCCGCCGACGGCCAGCGCTACGTCCTCCGCAAGAAGCCGCCGGGCAAGCTCCTCTCCAAGGCAGCGCACAAGGTGGAACGCGAGTACCGCATCATCCACGCGCTCGAGACGACGGACGTGCCGGTGCCGCGCGCCTACTGCCTCTGCGAGGACGACACGGTCATCGGCACGCCCTTTTACATCATGGAGTTCCTCGACGGCCGCATCCTCGAGGACGCCGCCATGCCGGGCCTCGGCGCCGACGAGCGCCGGGCCCTGTGGCACGCCGCCGTCGACACGCTGGCGCGCCTGCACCGCGTGCGGCCCGCCGACGTCGGGCTCGCGTCCTTTGGCCGCGCCACGGGCTTCTACGACCGCCAGATCCAGACGTGGAGCACCATCTGCGCGAGCCAGGCCGGCGCCGTCGACGTCGAGACTGGCGAGCCCGTTGGCGACCTGCCGCATTTCAGGGACATGATTGACTTCTTCAGGGACGCGAGGCGGCAGCCGCGCGATCGGGGCACGCTGATTCACGGCGACTACAAGATTGACAACATTGTCTTTCACAAGACGGAGCCGCGGGTGATTGGCATCCTGGAGTGAGTTTGCCTCCTGAGTTTGCCTCCATCTCCTTGGATATTCTTCTTTGGGGAAGGACTTTTTTTAAGAGGAATACATGCCACGTCGCAGAAGGCGCTGACCCTCGCGTGAACAGCTGGGAAATGTCCACGGTCGGCCACCCGCTCTCGGACCTCTGCAACCTCTCGACGCAGTTCTTCACGGCGTCGCGCGACGGCGTCAACGCGCACAGGGGCTTCCTCCCCGGCGCGACGCCCGGCCTGCCCGACGCCGCGCAGGTCGTGCGCTGGTACGCCGACGGGTCCGGGTACGACCCCGCCGCCGAGCTCGGCTGGGGCATGGCCTTCAACGTGTTCCGTCTGTCGGCCGTATGCCAGGGCATCGCGGCGCGGTACGCGCGGCGCCAGGCCAGCAGCGAGAAGGCGAAGCAGTACTCGGAGACGAGGGCGCCGCTGGCCGAGTTTGCGTGGGAGCTCGTGGAGACGAGTCGCAAGGGCGAGGGCGCTGTGGCTAAGCTGTAGGGTGGCTTGTGTTGTGAATAGACGTGCTGTTAGGATGAGCTGTTGGCGTGGAGTGCCCTGTCGTGTGTCTTGTTCTGCCTTGATGGGTTGTGGTGCTTCGTCATGCCCTTCTCTGCATGTGGTGTCTATGTGAAATCCACGGATGCCCCCTTTTCGCCCACATCTAGCTAGACTGGCCTCCGTCGTTGCTGTCTCGCTCGCAGAGCTGAAGTCTGCAGCAATTGAGGTAGCCATCAGCCAAGAGTATCCAATACTGTTCAGCCGCCATCATGTCAAAATCTCGACATCGGCATGCCCTCTGGCTGGTAGTCTTATCCCTTGAGGACCGAGAACGCTTTCAGTACGTGGGAGCCAGGAGCCGGCTCGACCGCCTATGAAAGGTTCTTATCCATATAGTACGATCAAGCGATATGTGTAACTGGTCGTAAGCTGGTTTCTGCCATCATAGGCTACTCATCTGAAGCGCCTGGTACGTACTGTGCCCAAGATGGTTCCTAATCCGTGGCCAGTGGCTCGTTGCCCTATCAACACGCCACAACACATGTCCCGCATCAACACGACGGACGACCCTTCCCAAATCAACAACCCCACCTTCCAACTCTACCCCTGCCTTGCCCTCTGCATTTGGCATCCTTCGCTTTCGCATCAACACCATCCCATTCCGCCATCACCAGGCTATGCCCCTACGATACTAACCATGGCAGCCTCCGGAGACCTCATCAACTTTGACATCATCGAGGCCCAAAAGGAGAACATCCAGGCCCTCCCCAGTGGCCGCTCCGCAAAGAAGCTGGCCGAGGCCTTCTCCCCGTCACCACTCCACAAGCTGTCAACACCAACACCAACAGGCAGCAAGAACGTCACAGATTGCATTCGCGCCGAGTACGAAGCCGAGATCGCCAACATCTCCGAATCAGACGACCCGCTCGACGTCTACGACCGCTTCGTTCGATGGACCTTTGACGCCTACCCCTCTGCCCAGGCGACGCCCCAATCCCAGCTACACACTCTCCTCGAACGCGCCACCAAGGCCTTCATCACATCGGCCCAGTACAAGAATGACCCGCGCTACCTGAAGCTGTGGATCCTCTTCATCCAGTTCTTCGCCGACGCGCCACGCGAGACCTTCCTCTTCATCTCCCGCCACAACATTGGCGAGAGCCTCGCCCTGTTCTACGAAGAGTATGCCGCCTGGCTCGAGAGCGCGGGCCGCTGGGCGCAGGCCGAGGAGGTGTACAAGCTGGGCATCGAGCGCGGCGCCAGGCCCGAGCAGCGCCTGATGCGCAAGTTCAACGAGTTTGAGCAGAGGCGAGCCGCCCAGGGCCCAGAGGCAACGGCCGCGCCCTCATCACCGGCCCTGCCCGCCATGCGACCGGCCCTCGCTGCCAAGGTCGACCCGTACGCCGCCGCCGCCGCCGCCGCTGCTGCTGCCGAGAACCCTCAAGCGCCACGACCCGGCCAAGGCGTTGGCGGCCCGACGGCCAAGCCTGGCAAGGCCAAGATGGCCATCTTCTCAGACGCCTCTGCCGAACCGTCGGCGCTGTCGGCGCGCCCGGCCAGCTCCGAGGGCTGGGACACGATTGATTCGCTGGCGAACCGGAAGAAGGAGAACGTCACGCAGGCGAAGCCGTGGGTGGGCGAGACGATGAAGGCCGGCGGCAAGAAGAGCAGCGCGCCCAAGATGCAGATCTTCAAGGATACGGTACGTCTCGCGAGTTTTTTTTTTTTTTTTTAGTTTTTTTTTTCCTTTTTTCCTTACCGGCCCCCTCTCCAAGCCCATGTGTTGATGAAAATTAGGACTAATGGATGGGCCTTTTGGCGTTTATTGTATTTTCAGTCCAAGCCAAAAGTAGCAGAAACACATACCCTTGTGCCCTCGACCGAGCAGGTTGTGGTGAATCCCGTGAGCGGTAAACGTGAGCGCGTCTTTGTTGACCTCGAGGCCGTCTACCCGGCGCCCGAGCTGCCCGGATCCGAGTTGAGCTTCGAAGAGGTCTGGGCGATGAACAGAGGCTGGCTCGACCATTCCTGGGAGGAGCATGTCATGATGGACCCGCTGCCCGAAGATGAAGTTGAGAACCTCGGACACATGGTGAAGGAGAAGCTGACCGTGTATACGGAAACGGTGACCTTGGACGAGAACGGAAACATCCAGAAGAAGGGCAAGAGCAAGAAGACGAGGACGATGGAGTTCAACGAAACCCAAATCAGTAGGTGTGACCCTTGGAACAAACCACTGCAGGCCACTAACACAAGAGCTTCAGTCAAGGCGAACTTGGACTCGCCGTCAAAGCCGACCAAACTCAAGAAGAGGAATGCGACCGCCGAGCCCACAATGACCCTGCACACCAAGGCAGCAACAGATGACATTTATGAAATCTTCAACCAGCCTCTGAAGCCCACCCAGCCCCTGGAAGACGAAGAAGAGGAGGAGGACGAAAGTGACGAAGACGACTATGAGACGGATGGAGATGGAGACTACACAAGCGGAGCAGAGAGCACCATGACGACGACGCGACAAGTCGACACGAGTGAAGCCGGCGAGGATGACGATGATGAGCCATCCGATGTGAAGAGCGTCAGCGAATGGTCCGACTTTTCAACCCGGAGACATGTGCCAGGCATTAACGAGGGCAACGAAGTTGACGAGTCAAATGACACGCAGGTGTCCAACCTAATTGATATCAACGAGGACGAGAACTCGTTGCCTTCATCGCGGGACCCGACGGGTTCCCGAGAGGAGGATGAGCAGGAGCCCAGTGATTTGTACGAGGAGGACGACGATGTGGACGACGATTTGCAGACTCCCATTGACGAGGACTACCCGCCCAGGACGCAGACCGTCTTCGTCCCGATCCCGCCAGAGGATTATGAGCCCAGAACGCGGCCTTATCGGGACCCGGTCGAAGCGGCTAACAACCGCCTCCCCTTCATGACCCCCATCACAGAGAGGACGGAATCCTCGCTTGGTGTCCTGACAGCTCGTAGGCCGCAAATGTCGCCCACCAAGAAGGATGACAACGACGAGTCGGATGATGATGATGGGGCCCGCGCGGACCAGCTGTTCAGCAGCCCCTTGCGGGAGATTTACAACGATGCGCAGCCCGCGAGGGTGCCTCAGCCAATCCTGGAGAAGCCCAAGCCCAAGCCTCTCGGTGTGAAGACGATACCTCCCAAAGGACCCGTCATCACAGACCCTCAATGCAACCCGGTGGATGACGTGGTGCGGAATGAGATTCTAGCCAAGATGCACCCGCCACTGAGCTCTTATGCCGGATTCTTCGATCATCAGGCAGAGAAGCACGGAAAGGGGTCCGAGATTCGCAAAGTAGCAAAGCTCATGGCCAAGGCCAGGAGCAGTGGCGAGAGGACGAGCAACGCCTTTTCAGTCGTCGAAGTGGAGTTCCCTGACACGCCCACCACATACACCATTCGCAAGGAACTCGGTGCCGGCGCGTTTGCTCCCGTCTACCTCGTCGAAAACTCAACGGCCGATCAGGAGGACGAGGATCAAGAGAACAATGGCGTCGCGGTCATGGGCAGAGGAGCGTTCGCCGTTCGGCAGCGCAGCACCCTCGAGGCGCTCAAGATGGAGCAGCCACCCAGTGCATGGGAGTTCCACATGATCCGCCTCGCACATTCTCGCGTCGGCCCCCAGCACCGTGCGGCCGCCTCCCTAACGTACGCCCACGAGATGCACCTCTACCAAGACGAGGGCTTCCTCTTGCTGCCGCTGCACCCGCACGGCTCGCTGCTCGACGTTGTCAACCTGTTCCGCGCCGAGCCCTCAGCTGTCATGGATGAGCAGCTCGGCATGTTTTTCACCATCGAGCTGATGCGCACCATCGAGGCGTTGCACGCGCGGGGGGTGCTGCACGGCGACCTGAAGCCGGACAACTGCCTGCTGCGCCTCGACAACGGCGATGCCGCCAACGCTGCGCCCCTGGCGACGCAATACCGCGCCGACGGCACAGGCGGGTGGGCGGCGAGGGGCGTGGTGCTCATCGATTTCGGCCGGGGCATCGACATGCGCAACTTTGGGCCCGACACGCAGTTTGTCGCCGACTGGAAGACAGGGGCACACGACTGCGCCGAGATGCGCGAGGGGCGGCCTTGGACTTGGCAGATTGACTACCACGGTCTGGCCGGCGTCATCTACTGCCTCCTGTTCGGGCGATACATTGAAACGGTACGGTGCGATCAGGGCGGCATCGGCGCCGGAGGGCGGCGGTATCGTATCAAGGAGAGTCTGAAGCGGTACTGGCAGACGGAGATTTGGGGCGAATGCTTTGACCTGCTGCTCAACCCTGGGTCGTTCGTCGACGTGGAGGAGGGACAAAAGATGCCCATCCTCCGGGGGTTGAAGCAGGTCAGGGAGAGGATGGAGGCGTGGCTCGAGGAGAACTGCGAGAGGGGCGTCGGGCTCAAGAGCCTCGTTGGCAAGGTTGAGGCTCACGCGCGCGCCAGGCGATGAGCCTCTCGGCTGTTTTGTTTTCTCCTTTTTAGAATGAGGCATGACGGCGTTGGATTTTTTCCTTTTCTCATAATACCAGAATCGTTCTTTGTTTGAACCTGTTTCTACGTCTCAAGTCTTGACTTTTCCCTCTCCACCGCGTTGGATACAATACAGAGAGACGTGATATCGTACATGTACACATGGAACTCTGGGACTCGGAGCCGAGTGCGCTCAGTCGCTCTCGTCGTCCGTCTCCTCCTTCTTCTTCCGCCCCCTGGGTTTCGCAGCCGTTTTTTTGGGCGCCGCCTTTTTCGTCTCCTTGGCCGTCTTCTTGTCGACTTGGTCTTGGATCTTCTGCCTCTCCGCTGCGCCCCTGTCCTGCAACTCGCGCTCGAGGGCGGCAAAGGCGTCGCTCTCGGCGTCCATGCCGATGAGGCTCTCGAGCAGCTTGATCTCGTCGGCCCAGACCTGCCTGTCCTCGACCGACTTGCCGTCCGGCCCCTTGCGGTCGATGGGCGTCTCGAGCACCATGGGCAGGCCGGCAAAGGGCGCATAGTTGACGACGGAGTGGAAGGCGCGCAGGCCGAGGAAGCCGGTGCCAATGTTGGCGTGGAGGTCGCGGTGCGAGTCAAACGGGGCCTTGCTGTCGTTGAGGTGCAGGGCCTTGAGGTAGCGGAGGCCGACAATGTCGTCAAAGGCGGCCATGGTGGCGGCAAAGGCGGCGGGCGTGCGCATGTCGTAGCCGGCGGCAAAGGCGTGGCACGTGTCGATGCAGACGCCGACGCGCTCCTTGTCGTCGACGAGGGCGATGACGTCGCGCAGGTCCTCGGAGCGCGTGCCGACGACGTTGCGGCGCCGGG